TTGAACAATAATTGGGGGACTGAATATTGTGTAATGTAGTGTTGTGGGCCAGGACATTATATTTGAAATCCATAAAACAGTGTTTCTCAGCCTTGGGAACTTTAAGATGTGTGGACTTCAACTCCCAGAATTCCCTAGCCAGCATGGCTGGCTAAGGAATTCTGGGAGTTGAAGTCCACACATCTTAAAATTCCCAAGATTGAGAAACACTGCCATAAAAACTCAGTGGTATTTTTCTCCTTCTGGGATACAGGGAAGCTCATGTATATAATCCTGGTCAACCCTCATATTGACCACTGTCAATGATTCCATAGTTATTCAAAAAATAGTCACAAGTACTTTGGTCCTCAGTAATCATCAAAATCTTTGCTATCACAAACTAGCATGGCTGTTTGGAGACTATATTTCTTTTCTCCAGGGAAAGGCTAGAGTAAATATATCTGTATCTAATTTTCCTGATAAGACTCTGAAATAGTTTATGTAAAGAGATAATAATTTGACATGCAGAGGGTGACGGAGTCTAGACACTATAAAGTAACTATGGGGTCAGCATTCCTTTTAAGGAGCATATATTTGCATTTATATGAATTCCACATAAATGTTCCACAGAATAATTTCACATTATGAGATTCAGTGATATTTTTTGCATTAACAATCTACCACTTGCCTTAGTGCAACTTGGACTCAAAATGTTGTAACCAATAAAGTTGTTTGTAACCAATAAAGTAAATTTGGCTGCTTCCCTGAATGTATAAGAGGCAGAAAGGTAGGTTATAAATTAAAATAATAAAGATCAGTATGAAGCTGAGCAACTGTAAGTGCTTGAACTAAAAATATATTTGAGGTCAATTACTGAAATAGTTTCCATGGGTGTAACAAAACATTCCTGTATATTAACCTAAGCAGACAAACCTAGTATTGGAATCTCGGTTTCAGGTTCACATGAAAAGTCTGTGGTAGTTAAGGTGCATCTAACTGGTTATGAACAGTGAGAATACTGAATAGAACATGAGGCAGTGTTTGGTAGGTAATGAAGAGTCAATATGGTGGTTGCAAGGATGTGTGGTAAAGCTGTATCTTCACCAGGGAGTATTTCATGAAGAATAATCAATAGCTAATGCTGACTGGGAACCTCAAGACTTATGGTATAAATCACCTGCCAGCTCTTAGGATGAAGAAGGCTTATTGGAGGGTGTGTCTGCATCTGCTAAAGCCCTGCAATTCTTCAACATGCAACACCTGTAAGTTAAATGGATAATGATAGTGACAGTGTACAAGTCTTACCTAATCTGTTTGCTTCCATTTAGCCTTACTGGAATCCTGCCATGTAGGACAAAGGGAATGATCTACTCCCAGACCTTTTGTTTGCTTATGAATGGCTAATGGGTATACTGGAAATCTGCAAAGAATGGAAGGGCTGGCTGGTCAACTTGTATCAGCCTGATAAAGCCCAGTCAAGTGAAAGGCATATTGTGTTGCTAAGATGGAAAAAGCTCTTCATCATTCTCTACTCTACTTATATCATGCTTCCATGATTCAACATTTATAAAAATCTCAATATGCCAAGAAAAGTTCAACTCTGGCACAAATACACAGATTAAGCAAAACTTGGCTCTGTTTGGCCCATCTTTATTCTGCTTTGGCTGGATATAGGGAACAAAATGAAGAACATTTCAAGCTATTGGAAATTGTTTAGCAGGTATGGTTCAAGCTTCTGAGATTTTACCAAGCATGGCTAGGTAAAATCAAAGCTAGTCTGACAGTTAAACTTTTTTTTTTTTTTTAATAATGCAAGTCTTAATGTTCTAATCATTTTTTTTTTTTACAAGGGATAGTCATGGCACCCATTGCAATTGTCCCTGGTTCCACACATGGAAGAGGTCCCATTCAAAGTCTCATGTATTTTATGATGTTATTAAATGGATATTTTTCATTCTAGGTTGCGCATAGACTCCTAGCTATTGGGCCACTGACTTTGAAGATGACAACACTGGCATAGGTTGCAGTGCAAAGAAATACAGGTAGTCCTCATTTAGTGACTGTAGTTGGTTCTAGTGAAATAGTCACTAAGCAAACCATGTGACTGAGAGAGATATTGTAAATGCAAGCATTGGTTGCAAAGTTACTTTTCCATCACCATCATACCTGTGAACGGTCGCTATCTGAGCCAGTTGCTAAATGAGGACTACCTGTTGAGGGGTGGTCAATGAACAGTCTATCCCTAGTCTCTCAAAATATCCACCTTTTGCTTCCAGTCCAAATTTCACAAATCTGTGGCTGCAACAATATGGACACACACTTGGATAGGAATGGAATATGCTGTAGCTGCAACATGGTTTCTCAACACAAGCCAAGAGGCATAAAACTCAGGTTAAAGAAATATTTTACCAATTAGATTTGACTTACATGGAAATCTTGAAAGTAGAATCCCATAACTGTGTGTTCATGCTCAAGATATTCTATTCAATTCCTAATTTCTCCCCTCCACCCCCACCAGTTGAACAGCTTTCCACAGACAGAGCATGCTTGACATATTCACCCAGAGATTTCTTTTGGCTTGCTGATGGTCCCCTCATGGGTGTTGACTGCTTCTCTTTGGTCACAAAGACCCAATTTCTTAGTATTGAAAATAAGAGTCCTGATAGCTTCTTGCCTAAATATCTTACCTTGGCACAATATTAGGGTTGTACAAACGGCCTACAGTTAAGTTTAGGTAACTGAGTGTAATAAGTTCACATGAGTTTCAGCCAGCATGGCCAATGGCAAGGAATCTGGAGGGAGAGGCTATAGTACAGAATAGGAGTTGTCTAGCCCCACTACACATTTTTTCTCTTTTTTTTCCATTAAAAAAACTTTATTTAACAATGATGTTGTATATACAGAGAGATATATTCATTTCCTTCTTTTAAAAAAGTACATCAGTAGTACCTTTAATAATCCTTTTATCTTATTTAAAACAAAGGTATAATTAAAAAAAAAATACTATCTATGAATAAACAGATAATTACTGAAGTTGTGCAATTATTACCCAATATGACATTAGTAAGGGTTCCAAGCAGAGTATACTGTTATTTTTATATCAAAAAGTATAAATTTTTGAGTTTAATGCCAAAATCTTCACTATATTATTGTTTATAAATGTTAAAAAAAAAAAAACCACCCCCGAAAATAATATAGGTAAATATTTAATTTCTGACTTCTCCTTTCTTTGTGCAAAGTTTATCCTCATAGTCATGAACATGTATCTTAATAAATTATGGTATATATTTTTGATGGGTTCTGGAATTATACCTAATAAAAGAAATAGTGGTTTCATTTCAAATTTGATCCCCAAAATTTTATAGATAGTACTATGTATATCTTTCCAATATGTTTGAAGTTTTTTTGCACACCCACCAGACATGGTAAAATGTTCCTTTTGTTTTATGGCATTTCCCACATTTATTGCTGTATGATTTGTCTATTTTGGCAATTATTGATGGAGTTGTATACCATCTGTAAAACATTTTATATCAGTTCTGTCTCCAACCATAGCTTGGAGTAAATTTTATAAACTTGTTCCACAGTTCTTCCCTTTGCTGTATTGAAACTGGTCCTTTGAACCTCACTATACAAAACTGTCCTCTGATCAAGGTACACTTAAAAAAAAATATGCATACACTGTACATTCAGAAATAGTTTATTTTAAATATATAAATTACATTTCATAGAAATGATACAATTAACATCTCTGCTGTATAAACAGAATGTTGTTGTTTTTTTACAGATATAGTATATTTTAAATAACATTAATATGATCTAACTCATCTGAGAGGTAAAAAGAATCAAATCACCAGTAAGACACTTCTCTTATATAGCAGAAGACAAGTTATGGATATTCTAATGGAAAAATCATGGCTTTATATTAAAATGTTATGGACTAGTATTGCACATTATATCATCACTTGTTTTGAGATGCTGAACTCATGAATTAGCCATCTTTGCAAAATAATGAATGAAATGAAAATTCTAATGGAAATATGACAGCTTGTAATACCTAAATTCAGTAAGATATATACCTAAAATAAAGGGAAAAATAAAGTCTTCGATAAAATAAAAAGCCAAATAACCTGGGATTATAATTAACTTAAAGTATGTCAAATTTTGAGCATAAAACTGAGCAAACTCAGGGAGGCAGTGAAGGACAGGAAGGCCTGGCGCAATATGGTTCATGGGGTCATGAAGAGTCGGACACGACTTAACGACTGAACAACAATGTCAAATTTACAAGTTTATCAATTGGTCTGGTTGGAAGCAATCCACAGATTCCTAAAATGGAATCTACATTAAGATCTGACCTTCCACTTTAGTTTTGCAGATGACTATGCTGTTTTATCTAAAAACATAATATATCAACTGCATAATGGGAATAGGAATGCATAGATTTCAGGCCACCTAAATACCTGTATTAAATAGCCTATCTGAGGCCATTTATTGGGCTAAATATTGCTGTTACATTTAAGCTCCAGGAGAAATTAGGGCTATAACTTATCCAAACTGACTATATTACTGACCCACTGAGACCAATATAACTCTACAATAATGTCTAACTAAAATCTAAAGACAGCCAGTTCAGTATAGTGGTTAAGGAATTGGGCCAGAAGCCGGGAGACCATGAGTTCCAGTCCTACCATATATGGGTACAAAGCCAGCTGGGTGACCTTGGGCCAGTCCCTCTCTCTCAGCCCTAGGAAGCAGGC